TCTGTAATCCGAATCAACAACTCCGGCACCAACATCAATGAAATGCTTCATAGCAAGACCTGAGCGTGGCGCTATTCTACCATAATAACCTCGCGGAATTTGAACTTGTAGATCTGTCCCAACAGAACCTTTATCTATAAAAGGTATAGAATTTTGGGAAGTATTTTATGAATAATCATAAATTACTGACAATACGTCAAGGGTTGGTTAAGGGATTATATTAGATATCACTAGTAATGATAAACTTTCTAGCTACTGAAATAAAAAAAATTACCCTTTGCGGGTATCACACAGTCATAAGCACTGTATAGGTCAGCTCCAGCTGCCCATTCCGATCCGTAAGTTGGAATCTGGGCATTTTCCGATAACTTCTTGAAATAAATACATTTCTTATCCATTTCAATAGCAGAAATAATCTGAAAGTAATGACCAATCATTAAATGTAAATATGGTGAACATACTAACTTAAAAAATTTAGATTCATTTTTACGAAACTGTGGCAAGAACTGTAGAGAAGTACTCTCGTTTCCAAAAAAATATAAATTTCCAAGCCGATTCTAATCACTAACTAACAGCTTAGGAGCACTATAAAACTAGTAATTAAAGATTTAACTCATTACTTAATTACTTTGAATAGCGGAATTCTTAAACCGGTCTTTATATGTGAATTAATCCCCAGAAACGCTAATAGTTATGAAAAAAACTAATAAAAATCAATGTATTAACAAATTCAACGAACTGGAACTCGATTACAATGAAAGATAAATTATCAGTTGAAAATAATACTTGCATTGAATAAAATAATTGAATCAAACAAGAATAAGATTTCAAAAATATTACCTCCGGAACTAAAGCTTTTACAGCAGGAATGACATCCACTTTTCGCTTTTTTGATGTCGGATTTTCTGTTTCCTGCAAGATATTCTCCAATGGTGTTATTACATCACTATCCTCCGACATAACTGCTTCTGAAAGTCCTACTAAAATTTCAAGCAAAAAAGATCTAAGTTTTGACAATGAATGAAAGATGTTGCGGTAATGCAACTGTCTTATTTATGCAATATTTCAGGATTATACCTTTACTGAAAGTGCGATAAATCAAATAGTTATATTTGACGTAATCCAAGAAGTCAGTGAACCGGCGTATCAACATTGTTATTCAGAACTAAATTCCATGTGCTGAAGAATTTAAAATCCAAAACTGTCAGAAAGAAAAAAACCCAAAAATTTTCAAGTAATTTTTTCAATTTATAGGTTATAACATATTTCAAAAAATAAAAAAAGCAATTCTGTCAGGAATTTATATCTACAGGAAATGCAGAACTGAAATCTCACAGTTTCGAAAAAAAAAGTTTTCGGAATGAAGTTACCAAGAACAATTTCTAAGCTAATAGATCTTTACATGCCTCCGAATTATTTTTAAATACTGCTCAAATAATGACGCGAACTAACGCAATCACCACGCTACACCTCACGTACGCAACACCATTCCATTAAAATCACGAAAAGACGGCTCAAATCACGCAGTCATTATGAAAATGTCAACATCCACATGCTTATATAACTTTTTAATTTGATAATTAATTACAAACAATTAATATGAGAGCTTATATGAAATCAAAAATTTAGAAAATTGTTATTAAAAATAATTTTTTAATAGAAACTTATTGAATAAAATATTTGAATGCTCCAACCTTCAAATTAAATTACTAAAAAAAACTGATAAATTTAATATTTCAAACTATTTACCATCATTATTATAGTTTTTTCTTAAATTTATACTACACAATTTGATTTGATACTGAAATCAATCGCTTAATATGAAATTCAAATGATTTTTTCACTTCTATTGACCTAGCATTGATCAAAATTAAATTACAATTATATGAAAATTTGAATTTTGTTTCTAAAAAAATGAAAAGATGAATGAAAGTTGTTTATGTTCAACAACTTAACTTTATTTCATTCGAAATGAAATTAATCTTTTCATTGTTCTTTTGTTTGATTAATTAACTTTAATATATTATTAAAAGTAAAAATCGTTAAAATATTTTTTTATTACTTATTTTCAATAAATAATAATTAATGTTTCAATGAAAAAAGTTTCTTAACGATTCTGTAATGATAAATGATTCAATGTAAACTTTTTTCTGCATATTGCCAATTAAACAATTAAAAGAGAATAACATTAGCAAATAATGATTAATATAATTAATTTAATTATATTAAAGATAAATTTGATCGGAGAAATCAAATAAAATTAGTTGTTCGATAGCATACAAAATGTTTTTATTTTTTTAATATAATTTTATTTAATGAAATGTTCCAATTCAAATTATATTAAATAAATATTTTAGTTAATGCAGTTTCAAATTAAAATTTTCAATAACCAAACGCTTGATAAAATTCTGGTTCATTTATAAATAAATAAATTTACCAGTTCAATTTGTTAATTAAAAAAAAAAAATACAAAATGAATGGAATTTTAGCCGTAAATCATTTCTGCTTGAAGCTAAGCAATAAAAAAGAAAAATCATTGCAAAAAAATTTTTTGCGAACAGTTTTTTTTAATTTTTAAAAATTTCTAAGTAATTTTAATCAGATTTCAGTACATCTATTTCTTAAAAAAATTAGACAACAAGCAATAATCATTTTTTGCACAAATTTATTTATTTCTTTTTAATTTAGCATAATGATAATAATAAATTTAATATTAGCATAAAATTTTCCTTGAAATCAATTCACCAATACTTTTTTGATAGATGATAAATAAAGAGAATTTGATTAAAATGACATTCATTGTGATAAGAGGTCATTTGTGCTTCTTTATCAAATCAAAATTAATCACTGGTCTATAAAATAAAATAAAAATCACTGAAGAAAAAATTTTTTCTTTTTTACTTTACAAACAGTTTTTAAAATTTCTATAACAATTTGAAATTGATTTTCGTTGCATATTTTTATTGAAAAATTAATTGCCAGTTGTTTTTATTTTTGCACAAATTTATAATAATATAATATATTTTATTTCAGTATTAAAAATATAACAGTAGAGTTATAATAAATTAATATGTTCAATTTTTAGTAAATAATTTTTGTTTCATCAAAATAAGCAAAATGTTTTTGTCTTACTAATTTCCAAATAATTTGATCATTTTTGATTCACTAATTTTGTACAATTTCAAATGAATGATACAACTTCATTGTGATCTGTTCTAAGTCATTTTAGTGATTAACTGATCTTCAAATGATAATATACCTAAAAAGAAATTCAACCGAATTTGAATTAAAATCTTATTTAAAGAATGAACGAATTCACTTACTTACATAAAGTACTTTTCAGAAATAATTCTTTTCAGATCCGATTGGATTAAATAAAACAAAAAAAAAAAAAAAAAAATGCATATCATTTTGAAAGGCGGATTCTTTTGGCTTTCTTAAATTACAACAGTGACACTTAGGCTTCTCTTCCAATATTTGCTTATCTCTTTTCCCTAGGCTTGAATAAATATTCGTCCTTTTTACACGCCTATTATTATTTATACTTTTAATACGATCATTCCATCGAATTGAAATATTTTAAGTTTTTTTTATTAAATACAGATATCATTTTATAGATTTGAAATATTTTTAAATTTACTAAGTGTTGCTTATTTTATCGTACAAATTCAATTGTTATTTATCTATTCGATGTTTTTATTTTTTTATCTTTCATTTATTATTTCTTCATTTACCTATTAATTTGTTTATTTATTTTGATTACTTATTTATTCATTCATATAGTCTTTTGGATTGTCCATTTCATGCATCTTTTCAATAGATTAATGTAATTTATAGATGAAAAATGACAAAATTTTAATTAGATTTTAAAACTAATGATTTGAAGCTAAAAAAAATCAGTCACAATTATATTTTACCATCGCTTAAAAACAAAATATCATTCATTTCATATTTAATTATGCATGAAATAAACCAAATAGTCTGATTAAAATTACTGATAGTACGATGAAAAGACCAATATTTCCTTTCTTTAAATTGTGAACTTAAATTGAATTGATCAGTCAGTGTATTCAGTATTCAGTATGAAAGTTTAAAATATCCAAAAAAATTGAATGAATTATAAATAAACTCTTCAAGATATATAATATTTCAATAAATCCTACACCAAACAAAAAAAAAGATTCAAATCTACCAAAAAAAAAAAAAAAAAAATGTAAAAATGTAAAAATTTTAAAGTCATTTATGAAAAATGAAACATAAAAATGTTACAACTTTTTTGCATATTTTTGCATAAAAAATTTTTTTGCATATTTCCTCGAAAATTCACTCAAAACTAATATTATTTTTTGTGCGTTATACCTGAATCAAAATTTTATTAAAGAAAAAAATTTTAAAACCAATATGTATGAAAATGGTTTTTAGAATTTGTTCAAAATTAACTACCATATTTTCAATTTCCCTTGAGATAACATTATCCTCTAAAATGAAATAATGAAAAAAATTCTGAATCAGACATATGAAAATATATTTGAAAGTATTGCTTATGTATATTCTTTTTCTTCATTTAATTATATACTCAATTGATTATCATTATTATCATTATCACCAATCATTACTAAGATATCATTTTTTTTAAATTCAATCAAACAATTTTCTCTAGTGGAATAGCTAATATTGCCTAAATGCATATATTACAAAATAAGATTCAACGAAGTAATTTAGTCCAATACTTAATATCATTTCTGATTATTATTATCATCATTACCAATACTAATATTGTTATCAGTTAATGCTGTATTATTATCATTGTTATTATTATTATCACTATTATTATTATAGATTTCACATCATTATCACCACATATAGCAATATTTTATTTGCAAAAAATGAAACAAGGTTTACTTATACAAAAGTTACTCTTTCAATTCATATTAAAATATTATTTGTGCAAAATTTTTTGCAAATTCTTTCAGAAATTAAGAGGAATATTTTAATTTGAAATGATATTAGAATTGATAATAACATCAGTATTACTTTTGTCAAGTCGTAGTACTGCACGACGTGTACCACATTGTGTACTTAAATGTAAAGATGCACACATGCAACAGGTTGGTATTATTCATTTTAAATTGTTCAATTAATTTGACAAAAAAAAAAAAAAAATGATTCAGTGACCGGTAGACGAATATTTTTTATTTTTGCACTTCCATTATTATTACTGCAGTAGAGGACTAAATTAAAAGAAACAATCATTGAAAAAGATGGTGGTCTTTGATCTTTTGACAATGTTTAAAATTGTTTTAAACATATTTAAATTGTTTAATTGAGTACCTTTTATTATTTTTTTCTTTTGAAGATGGAAAAAGAATGGTCATTGAATTTTGCATTTCCATTATTATCACTACTGAAAGCTACCGGTAATGAAACAGCTGCATATAATCGAGCAGTTGAAATTTGCAGGTTACAAATATACTTTAATTTCTTTCATTTAATAAATTCGACAAATAAAAAAGACTAAAGGCTAATTTTCGAAAGTAAAAATTCGTATTTAAGTTTCATTTGAAGTGTCAAAGATCGAAAAAGAATTCACTTTAAGATATTATTTATTTTTCAAAATTAATTCATAATTCTGTTTACGTTTCATATGAAAATTTTCGACAAAAGAAAAATCAATTTCAAAATCAAATTTTTCGTATCAAAAAATTATTTTACAATTGGTATTTTATTGTTCTTTCTTTATTTTTGTATAAACACATCAAGGTAAGGCAATTTTGGCTCAGAACAAATCAAATAGACAATTTGACTTAGTAGAGCTAAGCCAAATAATCTATGTAACTGGCATATAATTCCTGTTTCTTAATTAACTTATAATGCAACGAAAGTCGAAATTTTTTCATACTTTCGATTAAAAAATTTGTTAGAAATTTTTTAAATTTATTTAGTTTTTTTTTTTTTTTAAAAAAACACATGCAAAATTATATGTTTACAAAAGAGCAAATTTTAATTTTTAGTAGAAATTAAATTAAAACTTCTAAATTTTTATTCAAACGTTTTTTCAGCCTCAATTTCTTTCCTTTTTTTAAGTATGAAAGTTACAATTGTCTGCTATGTTTGATTTGAAAACATTTTATCAGAAAAAAAGAGAAATTTGCAAATTCAAACTGTGATTTTTTTTTCCGTCTTTTGTTTGCAAAACAAACAAACAAACAAACAAAGACACCGACAATAAATATGGAAAAAAAATTTATTTCAAAATCATTCGCAGATTATTCGCAAATTAATCTTTTGTTCAAAATTCTCTAATAGCTTTAATCTATGTAAACAATACCGTACTTTGCGCGATCCCACAATAATTAGACTAATTATAATTGCTATAATTATAGCACATCGCTAAATCACAAAGGAATTTTTTGATGGATTAAGCTAAAAGAGAGAAAGGATTAAGATTTTCTGTCGATCAAAAATATTAATTAACTTCGAAAATCAGGCGCTATCTTATTATATCAATTATTGTTTTTTTTTTTTTTTTTCATTATAAATAAAGAATAAAAATTTATTATTTATATAGGAAAATGTTATTTTGGTGATGTGAAATGACAATTGCAAATTAAATTTTCAATGTTTGTTAACATTGAAAATAAGTGTAAAAATCGAAGTGATAATTATGTATATTCCCTGAGGTAATAATATATTTTTATTAAAATGAAATTTGTACAATTTAATCATCTCATATATTTTGAAGATACTAAAAGAAATGAAGAAAGGAATGAATGATAAGAAGGATAGAAAGGAAGGAAAAATGATTAATTTTCAATGATGGGACATTTTTTTTGAAATTTGCTTTTTTGTTTTTTTTTTTTATTAGTAATAAAAGCATATACTATTTATCATAAATTAACTTTTCTTTGTTTGTTTATTCGTTCTTTTTTTTTCACTTTATAAAATACGAAATATTTGTTTGTAAATTATTTTATACTAAGAATTTTTCAATAAATTTTGTTTTCCTTTCTGTTTTTTTTTTCTTTAAATAAACAAAAATATGAGCATTTTAGTAATAATAATAATAATTTTTAGGTTTATTTGGCTGATGCTAGTTTTTTATGAAACGATTGTTAATAATAATGATAATAATAATAATAATAATAATAATAATAATAATAATAATAATAATAATAATAATAATAATAATAATAATAATAATAATAATAATAATAATAATAATAATAATAATAATAATATATACATTTATAATTATCATTATTATTAAAAAAAAAAGTGGTAAATATTTCAATATAATAACAATGATAATTGTCTTTTTTTGCAAATATTTCATCGTTTTTTCTTTTTTCCTTAATCAAAATTTTCATTTTGTTTTTGGTAGAAAAAAGAAAAAATATTTTTATGCTATTTTAATGATTGCATAAATATTCATATTTATGTATGTAACATAAAATTCCATCACGTACCAAATGATGATGACAGTGTTAGCAGAGATGACAACGTTGACAATAATATGTCAATGATTTATGGTCAATTGAACTGAACTGAATAGCTTATCTTTGATGAATGCGACACAATGACATCTATTATCAAAAATATTCAATCCATTCATACAAAGAGAGAGAGAGAGAGAGAGAGAGAGAGAGAGAGAAAAAGAAAAACGACCGATAATTGGTTTAATTGTCGCATTAGATTGAATTGTAAAAAAATATACAACAATTAATGACACTATCTTATCGCTTTTAATTACTTAACATAAGTAGTGTTCTGGCGTAAATTATAGTTTATTAGTAGCAAATATTTCTTTTTAAAAAAAAAAAAAAAAGGAAAAGAGAGAGAAAGACGAAATGAATGGATAAAGAAAGAAACGAAAAAGAAAAAATTACCTTTATTCATTTTAAGGGATTTTCTCATAAATTTTTTTTTTACAAGAAGTGCAAAAGTATGATTTAATTTAAAATGAGAAATATTACTCAAAAAAAAGTAATTAACTTTTGAATGTTTTTTTTTTTTTTTTTTTGAGAAGAAAAATTTTGTCATTAAAAAAAGGAAATATTTGTAAAATATTTTTAGAAGTAATGATTTGTTAATCAATTGTCTTGCCGGATGTAATAAAACAAATGAACGAAAAATTATAGAATTGGGACTTCTACCGTGGCAAGAAATATGCTTGAATTTACCTGGTAAAAGTATATTTTCATCTTCATGCATATCATATTTAAATTTTATTTCTTAGATAAATTTAAAATTTTCATTCATCTGACTGTGTCAATTTATAATTAGTCCAAAATATGATTAATTATCTTGAATATTTCTTAATTTTTTAATTTATTCTCGAATATTTCAAATTTTTGAGAGATAATAGGAAACTAAAGTTCTATTTAAATTTTTTAAGCTATGAGATTAATTTATTACACTAAACTGATTAAACGCTTTCTCATTCAAGTAAAACTTTTATTTTTTCATTGTTCTAAAGCAAATTTTGTTTTCCAGTAAAGTTTTTTTTTTCTATAAATTTTGTAATTTTATGGGAATAATATTAAATTTATTAAGTTATATTAGTCTATCAATAGTTTGTTATCAAATTTTATTACCTTCACTAAATTATAATTGTCAAGATTTTATTGAAAAAGTTAAAAACTAATTCAATAATCTAAAAATGTTGATCTCGATTTTATCACTTTTATATTGTCCACTTTAAATTTCAAACAAAATTGCTAACAGCGTAAAAGTTAATTAAGTAATAATTGAATTGATTAGAACGAAGAATAAATTAAAATACGAATAAACAAATAAATATATTTAGTGGACAAATGAAATTTGAAATTAAACTAACTTTGAAATGCAAGAAAACTGAATTAGCAAATAAATTAATTAATATACAAATACAAATTGGACAAATAAATAAATTTCAGTGCTTCAAGCGCAGTTTCCATGTTGGCGACAGAATATCGATAATTTAACGTCAAACTGTCGCAAACAAAGTTACGAACTTCGTGAACGCATCAAATTTTTAACTGTAAATGAATCGCCGTCAGCTCTTCAGAGAATATGTTTGTTAGTTAATTTATAAACTCTATTTCAATTGAATGATTATTTAATTATCATTTGTGTAAATTATTGAAATTAATGAGAATAATTTCTCAGTTTCTGAAGGAAGAAAAAAATTTAATTAATTAAAAGATTTTTTAATGAAATGTTTAGAAAAACTTACTCCACCACAAAGTAATTGGTTGTAATTAGGAAGAAAAAAATTTTTGTTCCTTAAATTACAAACCTTTTCTTATTATTATAAAAATGAATAATCTTTCGGTATTTAAATATATTCCTAATTCATATAAAAAAAAATAACTGACACTTAATTGTAAACAATAAAAAATTTCTTTGTTCGTCTATTTTTTTTTTTCATTTTCAGAAGTTTGGATAAATTTGCTGATTGTAGTGTCCGCAACTATGGTCATCTTTGTGGACAAAGTAGTGAAAATGTAAGATTTGCATATACCATAAATTATTTGCAATTATTTGATATATTAAAGATTTAAAGACTACTTATTATGTTTATATTTATACACTCTGTATTATAAACATTCTATTTAATAATCTCATAAAACAACTAAAAAATTCAATTGGGATTTTTTGCTTCTTTTTTTAAAGTAATATTTTAAATTAGCTTTTTTTTTTGTTGGTTTTGAGTGGTATTAATGAGCGCTTATGTTAGATATCGTTTGAATACATTTTACGCATTTCTCAAATAATAATAATAATAATAATAATAATAATAATAATAATAATAATAATAATAATAATAATAATAATAATAATAATAACACTTCAGAATATCTGTTTTCAAAAAATTATTATAACATTTGATAAATCAAATTTATTATGTCAATTGCGCCATACATACACTTTCATAATTTACATATAAGCAATCATAAATCATTGGCTTATAATTTCAACAAAAATAATTTTAGTTCATCGATCGATTATTGTGGATCAGTCGTAGTGCAATATATGACATGTTGACAATCAAATGGTCTATTCTACCACCATCCTGTAACATTGATTTTTCAAAACGTGAATTGAGTTTATTAAATTCGATTTATGTTCACAATCAACAAACTTATTGCAAAGAATATAAATTATTGATTGGTTCAGTGTTATTATTTATATTTCTGATTAAAAATATCAATTACTGACCAGAAAAAGAAAGAAAAAACGTTGATATTGTTGTGTTACTTACAGTTTAACAATTAAATCAGCATTAACTGAAGATATTATCACAAATTGATAATTTATTAATTTCAAAAATTATGAAAAGAAAACTTTTCTTTGATGAAAATTTTCACTGAGGAATTTGAAATTTTTCATGTTATCATTCCAAAAAATATAAATAAAATTTCCTCATTTTGAATAAAATATTATTTTTCTATATATATATAAAAAAAAACGTTACTGAAATTAAATAACAAACACAATAATCACATGCAAAATAATTTTGCAAAAACAGCTTTTTTCCTACAAATTTGAAAACAGTTAAAATTTATTCTAAAATTGATATGTTTTTATGGGTATTATGTTTTCAGTGTTTTTTTTTTTTCCTTTTATTGCTTTTTTTATCTGATATCTCTCAAAGAATTGCAATATTTCAGAACTTTGATAAATTTTGCATTATAGTAATAGGTAGAGTATAAAATGAATTCAAAAAAAGCAGTGATAAGCTTTAATAGATAACAATCATTGATAACAAATGAGAAATCATTTTTTTTTTTTAATCGTATCAATTTGCAATTGTTTAAACCCAACTCATCTGAGTTCATCTCTTGTAATTTTATCTGTCTGTATGAAGAAGTAATTTAATTATTAATATTTCATTTGTTACTATTTATTTAATTAAATACCATTGGTTCATGAAAGATAACTTTAAGAATTTTGTGAAAGAGTAAAAAAAAATTTATTCAGAAAAATTTATTCACATTTTAAATTAATCCAACTAATTGCAATTTCTCTTTTTATTCGGATCGAATGATTTGATTTTGATAGTTTTATATTAATCAGTAAATGAAATTCAGTCCTTCACATTTGAATATATTTCCCTGAAAAGCGGATGCTTTTAGCTAATAATATTTTTCGATAATTTCAAAATTTAATCCATACATCCATACATATGCATTTTTTATCATTATTATTGCTACTATTTAATATTATTATTATTATTATTATTATTATTATTATTATTATTATTATTATTATTATTATTATTATTATTATCATCATCATTTACTATCATCATTGTTATTAATTATTATTATTATGTCATCGGATCTTAAAGGAGAAAAAAATGATAACATTTCAATGGTTCGTCAAGTGGCAAAAGTTTTGTTAATTGGAATATAAAAATCAGTAATCAATTTTGTGATTAAAATTTGCAAAATGTCAGATAGAAAAGCAAAAAAAAAAAGAAGAAAATAGAAAAGTAATTGAATGTATTACTAGTTAATGAATTATTTTTGTTTTTTCTTTTTTAAATTAATTTCTGACAATGAAAACAAATTCTTTCAACGATGGTTATTAATTACAAAGATTAATCACTGTTCAGTATTTGAAATCATTTAGTTGTAGTATTGCTTCATTCTTTTTAATAGCAATGTTAATTTTTTGAGGAATATTTTGAAGGTATATTATTACTAAATATTATTTCATCTCTAATCTCTTAAAGATAATAAATTATAAAAGTAAATTTCATTGCAAAATAATTTCTGCGACTATTTTTAGACTTTAAAACCAAATTTTATGTTTTTTTTTTTCAAATTTATATAGTTACTAAAAATCATACTTTATGCAATGATTTGAAATTTTTTCTTTTTTTGAAGAAAAATTTTTTCTACCTTTCAAATACTTTCAAAATTTTAAAAATTTCGATCAGATATTATGCATTAATATTTTTCTCATTGCATTGTTTTATCGAAAATAATTTAGCACAATTTAATCAAACAGAAAAAATCAAAACATCTTAAAATCGTTTAAAATTCTTTTTGACATTTAAAATCTCAGTGACAAATTATCAGTTTAAAATGGAATGAAAAGAGTTTAAAATCAAGAAATAGTAGAAAAATCAACAAGATAAATTTGACATTTGCCCTCCATAACTTTGACATTTGACCTCGCCATTCTGCTTTTTAATTACTATCAATATAAATGTGTAAGATAATTATATGTAAAAGTATTTGGATCTTCACTGATTTTTAAGTACCACAATAACAAAGGTTGAGTAAAAAGTCTCTTAGTCTACTTTATATTCCTGAAATGAAATGAGCCAATTAGAAGGATTTGAAAAATTCCAAATTTAAAAATTTATTTGAATAATTGAGCTTTTTGTATTACATTTGTTATCAGTAATATAACTAACCATAATCGGAATTTCTCATTTACATTTATGAATGAATATTTGCATTCTAATGGAACCAATTTCACAAATAATTTAAATTTGAGCATTTAAAGTATTTCACTCCTTGTCGTTAATAACAAAACTAATCTTAGATATTATTTATGTGAGCTAGCAGAAATAGATTTCATTCAAATGTGGAAGCAAAATTCATAATCATAAATTGCTATAAATATTAACCAAAGAATAAAACGCCGATAATTTAGACATTTAATTAATTAATTTCATTTTTTTTCCTTTCCACTTCTGTTTTTCCATAAATATGCTTACTTTTCAAATAATTTAATAAATTTATCAGTCATCGATCAGAATCATTTATTTCTTAATAATTGATATAATTTATTTACTTATTTTTCTACTTCATTTTTCTTTACTATTCCTCTGTAATTTTTTCAAAATTTTCAATTTAAAATTTTTAAATTTATTTTTCTCTTTTTTTCCGAACAGAACAGACATAAATTATTGTTACTTTATAATTCTAATTAATACTATCATTATTATCACGTTACTATCATTGTTATTATCAGCAGTTCCTGAAACTTTTATTGTTTCTCCACACTTATCATTTTCCAAATATTAGTTATTATAACTAACATTATCATTATTATCGTTATTGTTACTACCGTTTTTGTTATCAATAGTTATTCAAACTTTTATCATTTCTCTACACACATTTATCAATTTATCATCACCTAAATAATATTCCTTGAAAAAAAAAGTGAAAAATAAGGTGAAAAAGATTAATTTGTGAAAGGTACTTAGTAGATATAATAAATTTTTAGTAAAATTTCTTTTTAAATTAAATATGAAAGAATATTTCAACTAGCTAATATAATAAATATTAATGGTTAAACTGATCTGTTTAATTGAATTAAATCATTTATTCGTTAAAAAAAAGTATATCAGAAAAAATATAGGCAATAATATATAAATTATCAATTTTAGTTTTAATTATTTTTTTATTTTTTAGAATTATTTGTTCGGATTAAAAAATTCTAGGGTCAAATGATCATAAAATATTTGTTAGGGTCAAGAAATTCTAAGGTCAAATGATCATACAGTGTAAATCTTTTTCACTCTGTACAACACTTCCGCTTTCTTTGCTTTTTCATCCATTAATAAATCAATCAGCGTAGTGGTATATCGGTCATTGGCATTTAGAAATCGTTGACAATAAATCAAATTCAATTTCATTCTCTGAGGTAACTTTTTTAAAAAACATTTTAAAAACTTTTTTTTTAGTATTGCTATATCATTTACATATTATTTTGTGAAAGAAGAGTGGAAATTCTCTGAAATAAAATTCTCATATCTGTTAAAAAAAAAAAAAAGGAATGAATTTAGATTATTCAATTCAGTTACTTTCCTCATTATCTCCACTATTTTTGATTTTGATTTTGATTTTGTTTAATAGTATTCTTTGTATCACCGAAAAGAATAGAAGAAAAAAAAAATGATAGCAAAATGAGAACACTCCGGAATAAGGAATAACTTAAGATTAGTGTAATTTTAATTTTAAGTAAGTATAAAAACTATCAGCTGTATAACTTATTCCAAATTTAAAAAAAAAAAATCTTTATTCTCCATTTCAAGTTTACACGAAGCCTTTCGGAAAAGAATTTCGATCATCCGGAATTTCTTAATGATTACTGGTATGAAGAAGAATACGGACAATAAAGGGGAGAGAGTGATCAGATCATTTCGAGTGAAATGATTGTTACAAATATCAAAAAAAAGCGCTGAAGTATTGATTGCGCTCATTTCATTTTCAAATGCTCCCATTCTATTCTACTTTATTCTTTTCTGTTCTGTTCCATTCTGCTTTATTTTATTCCTAAACGGTTTATAATAATCGTTTATTTGTTTTTTTTTTTTTCATTTTATTTTATTTTTATTTTCGGTCTATCCGAATTTTTATGCTACAACAATTCGATGTTTACTCATTTTGTTTGCATGTTTTATCTACCGAAAAATAAGACCATCCTATTTTCTGGAACTGCAATATCACCGGAATGATTGATATTTTCTAGATAATAAACATTCACAAATCGGAAATTTGACCAATCCAAAAATGAACAGAACAAGTGCTGCTTAACTAATTAATCCCTATAAATATGATTAATTAGAAGAAATATCTATTTAATCTTATTTTCTAACTTATTTCAATACAATTTTAGTAATACTTCTAATCATTATTTTAACTTATACGATTTGTATAATAATAATAATAAATAACAATTAATAACAATATTAAACTATAACAATAATACCACCAAAAATTTTTTTTTTTTTGGCTAATTGCTTTAAAATGTTTTTTTTAGTCAAATTTTAGAGCTTTTCTTATGAATACAATAACTAAAGAATAGTAAAAAACTTATTATATACTAAAATAACATATAATACAATCATTATAAATTACTAATATTGATTGAATAAAAAAAATGAAAAGAAAAGAAAGAGAAAAATAAAACAAAACATTCATTCTTTTGCAAAGTAAACTGAAAAGTAAAAAAAAGTATGTGAAATATAACTTTCATATTATTCAAAATCTTTAAACCATTTTTTCCTTTCCTTCTGATTTGTCAGTAAATCTCGAGAATATTCTCTCTTAATCTCTCAACAATATTAAAATGTATCTTTCGAAGGGTTCGGGACTGCACAAAAAAGGAAGGAAAGAGAATTCTTCTTTTTTTTTTTAGAAAAAAGCATAAAAATATGTTTTATAAAAGAAAATTGGAGAAAAAAGACATTTAT